GTGTTTGTGGAAATGTTTGGACCAAACATTTTGTAAACTTTACATATCCTAGCCAAGTGACCATTGATAATTAGAGTGTTTAGTGAAGTACTTGCTCCAGAAGAAAGTTGGTTAGTTAGGTGATTAATGAACTGGTTAATGCCACGGAAATATATTAGTCATATCATTGAGTTCCATGCAGGACCGACCCTGAGAATTTAAGAGCCACAAGCAAAATAAAAATTTGGGACAGTAATTATAGATTTTTTTATAGAAAAAACATTTTAAACAAAATGATCAAAGGGTAAATCAAAACCTTCACCTCTTCTTTCTTTTATGTAATTCCTGAACCAACTGAACTAAAAAAAATTATGGATATTTTTGAGCCGATAATATATATAAATAAAATTTCAAAAATTTTGGGGCGCAAGCACGGGCTTGGCCCGCTTGCCCTTAGGACCGACCCTGGTTCCATGTTTTAGGATGGTGTTTAATTCAACTTTTGGCATCAGTTTTTTGATTCTTAATCCATTCTTATATTAGTTTATCTCATGGTCCAATGCATTTCATTTTTTTGCATTTCTTAACATTTTAAACAACCAAAAACCTAAAAAATATCTGCTATAGATTAGTTTGTTTCTCGTATCTCTAATGTGCGAACTTTGATTCTTTGGGATTGACCCTTAGATTTACTTCGGTGTATCATGGAATTGTAGTTTTATTTGAGGTTTTATAAATGTAAAGCTTCCCTCGTTTATTTGGATATTTGCGCTCTAACAAATATAGATTAGAGCGCTTCAATTTAATTAAATAAATCAAAATAAAAACATTAAAAAAGTTATGGTAGTGATACATCATCAAAAATAATTTAAAATATCTTCTATATATTAATTGAGGAGACACTAAGTGAAATGATATCAAAATTAATCATATGTGTCATTCAATGAGGATTTTAAGGGACACATCAATTAAATTAACCAATCAAAATATTTCAATTAATTCTGTATATCATATTGAAAATTCCTACATATTTAGATTAATTTTTTAACATAAACTCACAAA